TGTGCACCTGGTGAGATGCTGTTCACGGTGATTCCAAGTTGACTTCCTGGAACTTACAAGAATTCTTTGAGTTTGTGGAAAGATATGTTTTAGATGCATTTAAAAAAAAAAAAAAAAAAGACAGCCAAAGGGAATTTAAAATCCTGAGCTGTGGCTGTGATAATATAGTGTTATAGTATTCTGTCAGAACTAGTCTAGCAGCTCACAGAATTCCATCGCTTAGTGTTTGTTAGACCCCCGGAAAACTCAGGCTTCCAGGGTCTTAGCCCAGGACCTCGGTCACCCCATTCACCAGGCAGATTCGAGAGCTTGCTGCAAACTGCATGAGGCTTTATTGTTGTTTAACAAGCTAACCTAACCCCATGTTAGCTCGGGTCTTTCACCCACACGCCATGGCGGATGGCTAGCAAAGACAGCTCGAAGGGGCTGCAGAGAGATCTTATAGGGCAGCGTAAGGGAAGTGTCTAGGGGTACGCACAGGCTCAGGATTGGTGTGCCTCCAGGCTTGGAGGGCTTGCCCTGTGTTGATTGGCCAATTGGTTGTTATGGCCCATAGCCCTCCCAGGGTGGTTGCTATGCTGTGCACTTGTCCATAAAGCACACCCAGATCCGTAAAGCATAACGCCACCAGTTAACTTCTGATTGGTTCCTTGCCACGAGGCAGGGATCTGACTTTCTAGTGACTAGGACAAGGTCAGACAAGCTGTTATGGCTGCCAAAATAGGGAGCTGGTCCCTTCATGTTTACATTATGGACAGTAACATAGCTAGAAAGAGGAATCTAGAATATGCTTCATTCTTTTATACACCCCAAGGCTCTTTCTTCTTATTACCAGTTAGCTTTTTTATCTTCACAAAAGCAAACCTTAAAGCACCTGTTCCTTCCCCATCACCACCGCATCATCTTGATACCCAGGAGACACAGATGGTTAATTTCTGAGGGCATTAACAGTAAGGAATGTATTGAAATCTGTTCTGTGAGTCTTCTTTTTGAGTCTGGGGGTGTGGATGTGTCTGGGTGTTGTTTCTTACCACCTGGGCACGTTTGATAGTCTTGCACCTCCCACTCTGTGGCACGTGACATAGGGATGTACTCCATAGAGCCCCTGGGTTGAAAAAGTATTTGCCTGAATGCTGGTGAACAGGATGTGTTCACCGCCTGTCAACAGCAAGTTGACAGGGGACAGGGCAGCATTATGCCAGAATGCCAACAGACCCAGCAGCTTCACCCAGACATACATGTAGGCAAATATCAATGCACATAAAATAAATAAATTATATTAAAAGTAGTGTAAATCCTGAGCACAGGAAAGGTAGGCCAGGCTAAGAAATGACTCTTGGTGGCTTATATCCAATGCATTTGACTTCCTGCTGAGGTCTGGATGTGTGTCCCCTGAAGGGCCTTATGTAATAGCTGGATCCCCAAGGTGGTGGCATTGGGAGATGCAGGTGAGGTCTTATGTTATTGGCCACACCCTCGTTAGATAATGGGGGACCCAGCCTCTCACTTTACTTCCTGCCTTGAAATCTGACTGCTCATGGTAGCACGTGTTCCCAGGACTTCCATCTGCTGCCTTTACCAGCACCAGGCAGTCTTGGGCACCATGCCTCCAAACCGCCCAAACTGGAAGCGAAATAAACATTCTGTCTTACGTTACATCAGGTATTTCGTTATAGTAACTCTTAGCTGACTAGAATACTTAACAATATTTTCAATTTTCAATGATTTTATTTGTATATAATCTGACTGTAAGTTGAAGAGCATCACAGCGAATGTAAGTTGGGGGACACATTCAAACCACAGGGGTGAATACAGTCATTCAGGATTGGGGTAGCTCTGGAGACCTGTGGCATGACAATCTGTACATCAGTAACATATAGTTGCATACTTGGAAATTGTTGGGAATGGGTGTGTGTGTGTGTGTGTGTGTGTGTGTGTGTGTGTGTGTGTGTTAGAAAAACCTGGTTAATAGGCAATACATTTGCCTTAGTAAATTGTTTCTAGTCCATGTGAACTGGCTTCTTTTCTATAGCTGTGATGAAATGCCCTGCCAAACATCAGCTTTTGGGGGAAAGGGTTTGTTTTGGCTTAGGGTTCAGTGAGGCTTTCTCTGTCCTGCCAGCTAGTTCCCAAATAATACATGGAGACTTCTTTTTAATTATGAAAGCTCAGCCCATAGCTTAGGCTTGTTCCTAACTAGCTCTTACAACTTAACCTAACCCGTTTATAGTAATCTATCTCTTGGCATTACCTCTCTTCCATCTTGCACCTCCTGTTTCCTCCCTGTCTGGCTGGTGTGACTCTACCCCTTCTTCTCCCCAGAGTTCCCTCCCTCCCTCCCCCCCCTCTCTCTCTTAGCCTGGAAGTATTGCCTGTATCTCCTGCTTAGCTATTGGATGTGTAGCTTTTTTTTTTTCCGTCACAAATAAGACTTTTTATTTGTGACTATTAAAAATCTGGATTTTAAACAGATTCTTGGACTGGTGGTTCATATCCATCAGCTTGTTCAACTTTAGCACCTGTCTCATCACCAGTAGTTTTTCCAGAACTACCTCCTTCACCATGGAGCTCCATGAGTTTTCCCAATTCAAACTTGGGTTTCTTCAGCATTTTTACTTTTCTAACTAAGACATCATGAAGAGGATAAATGGACTGGCAAGCCTTTTCTATGTCTTTCCCAATGCTGTCTGGAATCAATTTATTAACTGTAGGAAGCCGGTTCCTGTATCCTCCATTACAATAATAGGTGCCTGAAGACACCAAGATGTAAATTACTTCACAGGCGCTGGGTAATCTCCATTCCTTTGATCTCTGCCTATCCCGTGGCTCATTTTGCCTGAGGAGCTAAAGCCATTCATAGGGTAACATATCCCAGGCGGCTGGTCAGCCTTTATAAGGGATGGTTTTCTTGGATCCGAGTGTCCCGTGTATGATTTCTTGCTGGCGAGAAATACAGAGCGCGCGGGACATATGGTG